GGGATGCCCCTTCCCCCCCCCCCCCACCCCGCGAAAATCTCTAACAATTAAACTAGCTAGGATTGCCACTCTTAAGGGAAAGTTTAGTGTTTCATCTTTGCAGCTTCTGTGTATGCATGTAAAACTGCTTTAAGACTGGTCCATTATGAAAATCAGCTGATGTGATCACAGTGTATGTCAGTGTTGTTCCTCCTTCTTTTCCCTTTCTTTTCCAATAACTTTGGAACTCATCAGCCAGCTAGAACTAAATTTGACAGAAAAGTAACAAGCTTAAAGGTTTTAAGTTCCTATGTGTTAGTTTAAAATAAGTGATCGAGTAATGAGAAGAAACTATTATAGGCCACAATGAGGGAATGGCGCCGATGTAAGCTCTTACCAGACAGCAAGAAAAAATTCAAATATTTCTTAAATTGCTTTGCTTATATTGACATGTATTTTTTTCTAGTGTCTTAACTGATTTATTGATTTGACTCTTCAAGGCATCAGAACTGTGCTGGCTCTATAACCTTGCATTGTAATAGCGTTATCTGGAGGTCTCCATAACATGGAGATTGCTCGGACTATTGCAGTCTGTTTTCTAATGAAGTTTTTATTAGCTTGTGGTACTTCCTCCTTGATCTTACCATCTCCTTATAGTAGTCTTTGTTCTTAGCACCTAGGCTTTTCAGGCAATTTTTATTTTTAAATTATTGGAAGTGTCATGTTAAGCTGTTTTTCAGCTGCTTTTTATTGTCAAGTTTTTTTTTCTATTTTTTCACACCTACCCTTTTAAAAAAGGTCAGGAATATTATAGAATTCTTTCAGTTGAGTGGTTAAGACTCTTAAAGGAGTAAATTGTGTAAGAACAATTTTTGATATTTTAAAATGTTATGAGGTGCAATCTATTAAGTAATGATACATCGTTCTGAATCTAATGTAGGCAAGACTTGTTTAGTTTGATCAGTTTTGGTGGCAGTCAGCATGTGAGATAGCAAAGCCAAGCAAGAAGAAGTCGTTGACAAAGCAGAATTTTGAAAAGCTTGGTTCTTGAGTTTTCCTTTAGGTATTACTAAAGAGTGAAATGCTAAAGGAAGTTTTTCTTGTGCTATGATATTTGCAATTTGTAGGTGACTACAGGCAGACTACATGCGTGAGATTGAAGGAAGTGGTGGAAGACACAAATTGTAACACGAAAACCAGGCTTTAGTTGTTCACCTAAACCCATTATCAGCAACCTGAAAAATGTCAAGGACTATATTTGTGTTTAAGTTATGAAATAACTTGTAATTAATATTAATTACTTATATTATAAACTCTACTATGTTGTAAGCTTAAACTTAGCTGCAGAAGTCAACACAAAACTCCAGACCCTTCCTTGTTCCCACACATTGCTTAGAAACATTAAGGTGCTTTCTCAATTGACAATTTTACCCCCTAATTCTTTTCCTTATATTCTGCGCTTGCTTCTTTTTGCTCTGTTTAT